CCCGACCTTGGTCATCGTTCCCCTCGCGTGCTCGTCCCTCTCTCGCCCTCGGCTGTCTTCTCTTTCCGTCGGGCGTCATTAGAAAAAGGTGCCAGAGGTGTGTCCCCCTATCGGGGAGGGGGGCCCGCTTCTCGGCGTACCCCCCTCCCCTCTCTTCGTCGTCTTCGGCTAGGTCGATACCCAAGCAAAAACAAAACGCGCTTGAGAGCGTTGTGAAAAATGGTGGCGGTTTGCCTGATGACAAGTCTGCCGGTTTCCCTGAGTGTGCGCGCCTCTGCTGTGGGGACCGATGCGCCTCTCGACTCGGTTTGCGCTTCTCATTTGGGCCGACCGGAAACGGACTGCCTCGTGGAATACCGTATGCTAGTTTGTGTACCCCGTCATTTGCGCCTGGGAGCGCGCATTTGGATGAGCGACGACGCTTCGGTCCCCCAAAAGGCGTTCTCGGTAAGGCTTTGTCGACCTGTTTCTTGGCCCCGAAGTTCTGGGATACTCGACATACTGCTTTTGAGATAAAAGAAACAATAGATGCCATTGAAGTTGTATACTAATACTTAATAGTATTAATTGTATCGTACCGGAGAGATTTAGTGTATCGTAGTCTCCTAAGTTATTTACAAAGGGCTGATTCTCAATCATTGGGCCTTCCTTGAAGTTGATACGTTTGTCACCACCGCGGTTAGGAGTCGAGCCTAGGGCCTACTCTCGACTACTCCAACACGTACTCGACATCAGTAAATACACATGTCCATGTTAAAAGAAAAGAAAAACAAGGGAATGGATAGAGCAGCGGATAGGGCGATTACGTTTTGGTGCCTCTTCAGGACCATTATCAAGTAATCGTGGTTGTGACTCTTGTATGCCATGGGCGTTTATTGAAAAAAAGAAAACTAAAGCCAGACAGGTCTTGTCAGTCAGCTCATGTTTCGCTCAGAGTTTTTTTTTTCCGAATAAATTGATCTTTTTTTTTTTGTTTTTTTTTTGCTGTTTTTGACGGAGTATGTTTTTGTGGCGGTGTAACGATGTCAAAAGTTCTGTACCTGTCAAAGTACATGGGTGCCCATATGTGCGGCGGCAATGCCCCGGACCGGCTGCATTGCTGCGCAGTCAGTCATAAGCCGTCACAAGAGGCGTAGAAACCGGTCTTGTCTCAGTCGGTCGGAGACTCGTAGTCGAACGCAAGTCTGTGAACCGTCCTTTTCGGACACGCACTTTCCTAATCATTTGAGCCGATCAGCAGCGTAGGCATGGCTTGAAGCTGTTGATGCAGTTAGCGGCAGCCGCTGATTCGATGACCCTTCTGAAATACTGCAAATGGTCGCTGTCTTAACTCCAAGACGCCCGATAAGAAATGCTTGTAGGCTGTATGTCGAAGCCCTGCCTTGTTCGACACTTGGAACAATAGCGCGGTGGTGACAAATGGACCTCTCGCGGCGCCGTCTTTTGCCTCGAGTCTGGATAACCGAATCCGCTTTTCTGAGGCTTGGCTGGCCGTACCGTTGGGGTGAGGAAGGTAGCTTTTTTTGTTTTGTTTTTCGACCCTTGGAAGAGGGAAAGGGAACTGCTCGAAGGCTTCGCATGGGACTCCCGCTAGGTTCTCCGGACGCCAACGGAAGACGTGGTTTCGTTTCCGTTCTGCTTACGGTATGCAAATCAAGTTGGGGGAGGCTCTTTCTCTTATGTCGGCCGATTCGGCGGCATCCGCTCTCCCATCCCCTCTGCGGGCCAAGCAACATCTCAAGGGCATCCGTTCGAAAACCTCTTCTGTCACGGGAAGGTTAGGGAAAGCTGCGCGCGAAGGCCGGGCTTGTTTTGCCGGCGTACTTTTAGCTACCTGAGGTACGTTGGCGTGACAGATAGTTTCGCGAAAGCGTGCGGGGAACTGGCATTGGTTGATATGACTACGATCCCATCTCGCCGTTTCTAAGGCTGGTTTCGTCGAGACAGAAAGGTCCATACCCTTTAAAACAGCAGGAAGTTTGAGAATAAGAGGCCCCAACACTGGGAAGCCCCCGAGCAGCTTGAGGTGTTTGTGCATGCGCAGAACGACTTCCCAAGCTGCGTGGGTCACCCAAGGCGTTGACTGCCCTTATTCTAAAACTCTCTAGTGTCTCTCCGAAGGTAGTGCCGAAGATAGCATACAGGCTAGGGGAACGCGCCAGCGTTTGTCCGCGCGCTAGACTTTGCAATGTTTTCGTCACGGCGGTGTCACGTAAGGTTTTGGTCAATTTTGTTTCAACTAAGCCGGCTCTGATGTCCCGGGACACTTGTGACTTTAAAAAAAAAAATGAATGCCACGCAGTGTTGGTTAAATATGAGCGTTAATAGATCCGCAAAGCCGAGTTTATCCGGAGTTACTCCAGCCTGAATGATCCCCATTGTACACCGCGTCATTAGGTACAGGACCTCCGCGCCCCATCGTCGCCAGAGCTTCCGACACTGCGCACAGAAACATCGTCTAACTTTATGTTATTTTGTTATTCCGTGACTTGTGTATATCTGATTCTAAAATATCTTACTAAAGCCTAAAAAAGAACTAAAAAGCTATGTAATTGTTGAGTGCGATAGACGAGAAAGATTTGGTCCGTGACGTTACAATTATGACAATATATAAACTACGGAACTATGGGATAACTCTCTCCAGGTCAAGTTTGCGCTCAAGACGCACCATGAAATGCTCATAACGACTACCGTATTATCTCTCTCTCTCTCGCTGAGCCCCCCCCCCCCCCCCCCTAGTTTTCTTTGGTGCCTTTTACACAACGGTACAACTTCTACGGATTTATTTGCTTTTGTAGAAACGACGGCCGGCACGTAAAAACAAAACAAACAAACAAAAATGCCGCGATGGTTATATTTATATTTGTGGGCGAAAATATTAGAACTGGCTCCCGCTCGCGCATCTATCTTGATCACAGTACAAATCTGTGGCCTTGTCAGTGCACTTTCGCCGCGCCGATCGTGCAAAGTGCGACTTATATACCAACTTTTTTTTGCGAAAACGACCATTGATAGGGGATGGGATGTGACTTCTACAACGGTGTGATGTATAGACCGGAGAGCATATGCACAATCGCAGAAAAGCAGAGTCAACTTCGCAGTTGTCACACCACGAACAAGGCGAAAACCGAAACCTTCTTTGCGGAACTACAATGGTTACAATCACGGTACTTCCTTTCTCGTTTACTTACTCCCCTACAGCAAATAGGAGGACATCAGACTCCAGAGGGCTTCGGTAGCAACACTTTTGATGAACTGAGGTAGATTCCGTGTCTACCTCTGATCCAAGTGAGAACGCACATGGCGGGAGTCGCGGAAAGCATTCGAGCAATCACCCGAATTTCCTCGAAGTTATTTAAAAAATCAAACAGCCAGGAACTAAAAAAAAAAAAAAAACGGCTAATTTTTGGGAGGGAGCAGTAAAGTGAGACATACAGGCTTTTATATGCTTGTTGGTACGTTTCCGTGATTCTTCTATCGATCCTTACGTTCGACACATCCTTCGTAGTATATTCAACGAAAATTGCGAGTTCCTGCATTTTTCATTCATTTATTGCCGAAAAGGAGTAGAAAAAAAGCGAAAACATTTGTACTTCCTGGCTCTCTTATGTCGTTTTTTCGCAAGCACCACGTCCCAGACACTGGAACATAGTGTTTGCGACAGTGCCAAATGCCAGACGAGATTAGGGTATTTCAGATAGTGGCTTCGTAGGGTGAAGCTCCGATGAAAAAATCTTACTTCTTTGTGTCCTTTGAAAAAAAAAAAAAAAAAAAGACAAAAGGGGGGAAAACGGGGGGGAAGCAATTAAGGTTGTCGTCCTGCTGTTCGTATAATGCGGAGGCCCATTGGGAAAATCTCTGCACGTCCCTATACCGTGGTGTGAAGTGCTGGTTGTTGGCGAATTTTGAGCAGAATCCAGTAAAATCTTGTCCCGCGGCGGAGATTAAACCTCCTATCGGTCACGTCTCATTTCTTCCTTCGGCGAAAGCAGCAGTGATGCGCGTCATTTTTCAAGTATTATTGTTTCGTTGATGTAGATCTTCATTGTCTAGCATCGCTCATGGCACATTGTTCCGTACTCATTGTTTGGTGACTGAACGTTTTGCAACATGCAGCGGCTTCTGCAATATCTTCCCTCGCGCGTATTTTCGTGAAGTATTAAGCTCTTTACGCAGTAGGTTTTGAATTGCTGTATTTATTTACACTGACGTCAAGCTCACCTGTGAAGAACGTTCTTTTATGTTGTATTAGGGTGCTTGTTAACCTATGGTTTGTTTGTCTTACCGCATGCAACACTTCGGACTCTGCATCAGAAGTGTAGTGTGCTGTTGTTTTTTCCGCATGTGCATAATCATTTTACGTTAAGCAGGATATAGTGAAGAAAAATGACTAAATTAACGACATCATTCTTTGTCGCTGAGCGCCCTTTTTCCGAGAGATACAAGTTCATTTCGCTGTAATTGTAGATGTTTTATTATAATTGTGAGCATGGAAAGCGCGCAACCATCTTTGTATTGTTTTCGCTTTTCCCGAAAAATTACGGCTACAGCATGCTCTGCTCTGTTTCAGCATAATCTGGCAAACGGCGAACGCTGTGGCTCACAGGAGCCAGCTAGAACGATGGAGCGAAGCACATGACAGCCCTCCGCAACGAGAGTGCGCTCCGGTATATAGTAGGTTGTCACGTGCCTCGTTCGAACGTTTTCATTAGCTCCCGGGAGTCGTAGCGTTTGCCGTTTGCCAAGGTATGCTGACATAGAGTATGGTCGGCTCTCTCTAGGCCTGAACGCGGATTATATTTATTTGTAGTATAATGGTATCTATATGTCTTCCAATCAGATTATTCGCGTTGTATGTGCTAAATAAGGTGCCACATTTAGAGCAATGAGTTTCTTTGTCTGAAGCGTTCGAGCAGTTTCTTTGCAGTACACTGCAATTTGATTCTATTCTTTTCTTGAGTCATGTGCTTTCTTCAACGCTGTCTCTTTTTTGTTTCCAGGTGCAGTCTCTTGAAGCCCTCTCAACATGCTAGGTGAGTACGCTGTTTTCATTTGAAATCTCTAGACAGGATTAGCTTAATGAGCGCTTTTGTGTTCGTGTAAATCCGATTGCGCAACACGAATAAATGCTCCCTTCCGCGAGTCACTCTGTCGTTATTAGGTTTTGGGCTCTGCGTTCGTGTCACGGCTTGTTGTGACAGGAATTTTCATGTCCGCCATTCTAGCGTCAAACACCCGATTTTTTTTTTAGTTGTGCAATGGAAGGATCTAATCCCTTGAAAGTATCACAAAAAACAAAACGCGGCCAACTAGTAGACGCAAATATAGCAAATATCCACAGAGCTATATTCCCTACGGGTTAATATGACTCAAAAGGTTTACCCTCAGAAAAGTAAACTCAGAACCGTTCTTATGATAAGGATGTCTGAAAGCAAACGGAGCCCAACAAATAAGCTGAATCAGCAGATTCGCGTCGAATCACAGGCAGCGCGGTAGAAATTGCACCGTCCAATCGACTCCAATGGCTGGTTCTGTTTCATCAAGACTTGCGTAAGAGCGCGCTTATTCGCTTGCGCAAGCCGGTGTCTCGACGTGGTCACGTTTGGTTACCGTGCTTAGTTTCCCCCGAAACGAACTCTCTTTAGCATTGTTGAGTATCTTTTTCATTCCTTCTTCTGTCGTTGTCGCTTGTGTGTGAGGGAATGCTTGGGCTTAGAAGCTGAGTCGGGAGCGTAGGGTTTGCGGAGTTTCCGAGCGTTAGGGCGCATGGCACCTCCCGCGCTCTTTTTGGTACGAGTGTCGAGTGCACCCTCCAGGAAGAGCACGGGTGGCCCCAGCGCGAGATAGTCCGCGCCCTGTGTCACCCTGTCGCGAGAGGCAGGCTGTGCCATTTGCCACGGGTGGTTGTTGCCTTGTCGATGAAATGTTGGACGCTGTCCGGGAAAGTGGCTGGTCGTTCCGGCGGCTGTCGCGCCGACGTCGCTCTTTTCCTCGGGCGGCAGCCGTCCGCGTCTTAGCCCTGTGGTCAGTTCCGGGTCGCACCTGTGTTCCCCGAAACGTGTCCCGGCGACCAGTTGGCCATCGGCGTGTTCACAGGAGAGGGACGCAGCTGCGTTTCTATGACAACAAAACAAATAAACAAAAACAAAAAAGCTTCGCCAAGTCGCGCAAATTGCGGCGATGTGACAGAGCTGTTTGTCGTGTTTGGCACCCCTCCCCCCTGCCGCGCTGATGAACGCTATGGGAACGGGTGGATTTTTATGAACGTCCGGCCCCTGCGCGGACTGGACGCTCGCTTGTACGCCATCTGCGTCCATCAACGCCCAGTGGACGGAATGGGTCCGCAATCACATATATCTGTAGCCGGCTCGAGCGCGAGTGGGTGGGGGGAGGAAGCGCTCGTCGGGAGAAGGTGGAAGAACTGTACCAGCCAGCAGCCTGGGTTCCTGAGAGGTTCATTAAGGCGCTGACTGTGAGGAACATGCCACAAAATTCCGCGTATGTTGGGGCTTATTGTTTCGGGCCCGTCTATGAGGATCGAACTTATTTCCGTCGCGCGTCCAGCTTCCCTGCGGCACCGCTATCGGAATCGTTGTTCCAGATAACACGCACTCTCCAGATGATGGCGATGAGTTGCCCCCGCTGAGCGGCTCGCGTGCCTCAAACCTGCCCCACCGGTGCTTGAGCAAAGACGCGCTTGGCCCTGAACTCTGGCGCCCCGTCCTCTCGCTCGGTTCTCTCCCTCTCTTTCTCTCTTTCCCTGAGGGGGAGCTGTCCCGATGCTTATTTCAAACTGACGAGGACGTCACGACCGGACGACCGAGACGCATGGCAGTGTCCTGTGAGGAGGAGGAGGGAGTTTCACGCGGCGCCTGGGCGTAGGAGCAGCTGCGGTCACTTTATGCCTTGGTTCGATTTCATCGACTGGAGCGCGATGTAGATCGGGCCTCTCGGCTTGGCATATCTCTAAACGACTTATTTTTCGCGGGCCCACTGTTTCGCGATTTAGGCCAAAGCTGAAGTTTTTGAATAATTCGCGGGTGCTAATTTTCGCGATGCGGTGGGATCCTAATATAGATTCCATTGCATTTACCGGAATCGTTCGCGGGACCTTTTTTTCGCGAATTGTAGGCGATTCGCGAAATTTGCGACAACGAGGTCCCCGCAAAAATTAAGTCGTTTACAGTATCTGGAGAAAGACCTCAACTACCATTCAGTCACAGAAACCGCGCTTCAGACAAATAACGTTCTCTCTCTCTCTCTCTCTCTCTCTCTATATATATATATATATATATTTTTTTTTTTTTTTTTTTTTTTTTGAAGAGGAGGGGGGGAGGCCGTTCTTAAGTGGTTCTTCAGTCTATCGTAAAGAATCAGGCGTGTCGAGTGTGCAATATATCGACGGATTTCGTGCGCTTTGAGGGTGTATGAACCTCACGTGGTGCCGCGTTGTTGGTAGCATGAGTCGAGCGCGTAAAGGCTGACGCTGGATATATTTGTCCGTTTGTGAAAGTTATCACCGCCGCAGTGCTAACTCTTTGAGTTTGCTGTGTGTCGATTAATTCAGATACGTTTATTCATTCGATTTATGTATGTTGGCCATACTTATTCACATACAGTTGTTAAATATATACAGCTTTAGTCTTAATTTAACAGATATTTGCTTGGTGTGCTGGTAGACTGGTTTTTATACAATCTTAAACTATATTTACTCACGCACTTTATTTGTCTAAACTTAGTGGTTCAATTTCAGTATACAACGTGCGATCAAAGTATAAAATTTTCAATATGTGGTCATCAGTTCGTTATCCTTCATTCGCACTAATATCTATTTAACGTATAATGAGTCACGTGGGCATGTTGAGAACGCAGTTAACGAAGATGGCAACAATATTGTGGTGTCCTAAATGGGTGTCCGTGTGTTTATAATTGCATATAATTGGATATTGTTTGCTTCTCGCGGGCTGGATTCGTAAGCGTGACTACAAAATAAAAAGAAAACAGTACAGTTTCGACTTTTGCACTCGATAAAGATTGTCTTGGAAACAGTCTATTAACGGAAAAACGTACAACCGCTGTGTTCACAAAATACTACACTCAAAAGCCCAGCTACTAAGAAGTTATATCTAAGGCACAAAATCCGAATTCTTCCCTCACAAAAACCGAATGGTTCCGGCTGCCCGTCTCACCTCTTTTTTTTTTTTTTCGCTTTCTTTCTTTAGTCAGGTGCGATGACGAGACAGAACACATATTGTCTTCTTACTTATCTACCCTCAGGAAAGGTACATGTGGGGCGTACGACATTATGGCGGGAAGTGGAACAAGCATAAAGTACACATTTTCCCCGCTAAATTTAGCGTAGAAAATGTCACATGACTTCTTTTCACGTGACCTATACACAAATTCAGTTTCCCTGCTACATTTCGCTGGAAAATTTACGTCGCGTGACATCTACAGGCACATTCAGTTACCCCGCTAGATTTAGCGGGAAAATTGACGCGTGAAAACTGGAGTTAGCACCGCTAACTCTGACACTGACTCTAGCTCTAACTAATACTAACTCCACTAAACACTTGGTTTAGCGCTAAACCAAGAACGTTTCACGTAGCAACAGAATTGCAAAGCAATTTCCGACACATTTTTTTTTTTTTTATGCAGGCGTAAACGACGGTATTGTTTACGTGAATTGGGATTATGGAACGGTAATGAACATTTAATGGTTTTATCAGCGAACTTTCAGTTCGATGATTCTCGCAAAGTGTAAGACGTGTGGACTTGTTTTGAGACTGACGCTTCGCACTCGAGTTTAAATCGATTAGTGTCTCGTAAAAAAGTGCCTAGATCGAAAAATTCGGGAGCGCAACGAAAATTTCTCGTAAACGAAAACCGGTTGCCGTCATTGATTTACGTGTCCCATATTTGAGAAGTAATACGCCGTCTGCGTATTGAAAATCATTAAATTCGCTAGGCGCATTATTTTGCGACCACGGAAACACCGAAAATACCTTGATGTAAAGAAAACAAACGAGTAGTAGCCGGGACTCAAACAACGCAAGTGACTTCCAGAGTCTGTAACTCCACGTTTTTCCGCGCTGCTGAATCTAGTTTTGGTTTGACTTTCCTTTCTTATTTTTTTTTGGGTACAGAATATTGTAGAGAAACGTAAATTAGCTGGCGCTTTAAATCCGTATTCTAGCGTTCTAATAAAAAAAAATTAATTTTTATTATGTTGTGTTTTTTTTTCTTTTTTTTTTTTAGGGGGGGGGGGGGGGTCAAAAAGACAACAGCAGCAAACCCAACGGGTCAGTGACCCCTTAAGGCGGATAAAGGAGAACGAGTTGTGCGAGCGGTACATGTCGGCGACCGCTAAAGCTCTCCTTGCACAGCGTGCCGCAAAGGTTTCTATGGCTGCAGGCCGGCGAGGTGAGGCCACCGAAGACGTGTTGTTTTCACAGCCGGAGCGAGGCCCACGCGTGTCTGGCCGGTACCTGGGCTGATTTTTTTTGGATTCTTCGGCTCTTCTTTGACCGGCCGCGTATTTGTTCGCGCTCGAGCGCTGCCCCAATGACGAACGAGCCTATTTGTCTAAATGGATCGCCGGCGAGGACGCGTTCACCGGCGCGGAGATCGAGGGAGCGTCGCCGGAAGGCAGGAGGAGCGCGAGGGTGCCGGCGCGCCGACGTCACCTGAATGTGGTGTGGGAACGGGCCGTGGTTATACGATCGGCCGTCTCGGGGGCCCTCGGTGTGCGGTTTCGTGCCGTCGGCTGCTCGCTTCCACGGGCCATGTGCCGCCGAGGCGGCCGTCGAGAAGCTCGCACCGGATGGCGCCTCTCCTGACGTCGCACGGCGGCGCCCTGCGCACCGTCCCCGCCGACTCGAGATGTTGAACTGTTCAGTGTCGCCCTTTTATCGTAACGGCCGCTATATTTAGAGGCGATGGACTTCGCCCTTACTGCAGTGCAGTGTTTTTTTGTTTTTGTTTTTTTTTCCCCGCTGTCTGTGGATTTGTTGCGGATTTCAAGAGCTTAAGC